GGCCTCACAGCGCACAAACATCAGGATAGACCTCACCAGCATACGCGGCGTTTAGCTCTCCGGTTCCTTGTTTCCGGGTAAACGCTGCTCTCTCACTAACTTGTCATATCTCTATTGTTCCTACTACCGTTCCGATCGTCGCCGTGGATGCTACACATTTGCAAGATCCAACCCGTTGGTCTGCACATCTTGCCAAGAAGGACGCCGTTGCTAGAGCTGGTTTTCTTGGCTACTGAACACAGGTTTTACAAATCGACCTCCTCACCAATATCAAATCATAGCCAACAGTCGCAGTCCAGAACCTCGCGGCCTGTCACTCCAGCTTTTTTGCATCAATCACAACTGTTTTGGATGCCTGTTGTAACACATTGTATACATTGGCATTGCCAATTTCGGACAGATTTTCTTTTGTATACTCAACGTCACAGAGTCAGCACCCTCGGCTGCATGGCAGATCGCCACATCAACAGCAGTAACTTCGAAGCAGAAATTCAAGAAAGTGGGCGTCGTGGTGTATACGGCCGATGCGTTGACTCTCTTCCAGGTTTCTTCTACCTGCCCACGGCCGGTCACCGACAACTGTCTCATATCCGACTGGATTCAGTGGACAGATTCCTTCAAGGTCATGTCTGGAGTGGCCGTAACAACCGTGAAGTGTCGAGAACTTCTCTGCTGATATCATTCACCACCCCCACTTGGCAAGATACTCTTGAGGAATTTTGCTCATCGGACTGGCCGCTTGGCCTCTCAGGCGTTACACAGATACTCGTACGGCTCTTCTACCGGGTGGTATCTCCATAACCTCTCATCTGTCTCGCCTTGATGGACCTGAGTGTCAGGATATCTAAACTCACCACTCGCACCGGAGAATTTGGCCAGTGGATCCACTGGGGTGTATCGTGCAAGACACATCGGGCCCCATTCATCAGCTTTGTCGACGTCACATGATTCTGCAGGTACCGCAACTTCGCTCCGACCTAGGCCCCTTGAGACTGGCGCATTGTTCAGCAAGTTTCTTCTTGCCCCCATCTTTGAACAAGACTGAACCAGTCTCGAAGTGTCGGCAACTTGGATACGCGGGCATATCCTTCATCCTGTGTTTTGGGTCGTCAGCCCTGTGCTGTGAGACACAAACATATCTTTTTCCTGCTTAGAAGCGTTCTCGGGCCCTGTCCACATCAGCATCCGATGTTTGCGTCCTCGACTTATCCATCCCCATATTGGAAAGACACAATAGTCCCGTCCAAGTATGGTTCGAAATAATTTCCAGCTTGTGGTCACTAAACCCGGTGGCAACTCTCCGACTTGACCTGATTCCGCTCTCTTGGAAGACTAGACCGAATCATGAGCCTTCCTAGTGAATCTTGTCTCTACTCCAACCCCAGATAACACAACTCGAACTGTCATAAATGGTACCCTCCCTGGTGAATAAAACATGTCACGTTGCCGTTCCTTCCATTTGCAGCGGAAACCACAGGTAAGTAAGCTATCGTACACGACGGACTACTAGAAGGAATAGGCCAAATTCTATCAGTTGACGGGACTCTCACTCTCTGAGATCGGGAGAAGCTCCTTGCGTGAAGTTGTGTGTATACTAGCACGCTTCACTGCAGTCTTTCGCGCTGTGCATTGATTTCGGGTTGCCCAGACTTGCAAAGGCCGCATCGCAGCAGTTGAAACATTTCTCCGTTCCCATTCTCTCACTACTGGCTACAACAGATTTATGACGCTGTCCAGTCTTGCAGGTCGCTAAGAGAGGGTCCGAGACGCCGCGTTGCTTTTGGAAACCCAACGATACCAATACTGCATTCTCGACACTAGAAAGGCCGCTAGTCTCACGTCCCCGTCTGTCATATTTTGCGTCTTACAAAACCCGCTCATGTTTTGGCCATCGAAAGCCTCCGTCAATCTGCACGTTACTTTTACGGGTTCAACGTCAGTAGGACATGGCCACAGCGGGGTTCGAAGCCGACGGGGGATCTTGTTGAGGGGTTCGCGAGATGATCACAGTATGCGCGCAGACCCTGATCTTGGCCATCCGCCTGCATGGTTCATGATGTCGTCGCAAAGCAGGCAGCTCTCTCTCCAGTGACACGACACCGGGCAATTTCATGGGTGTCGCATATTTCTTCTTTTTTCACCGGCTGCATGGCATCCATTATGAACTCACAACAGGGGTCAAGCGAACACCAATCGGTGAAGGTGCACCAAGCCGCCCTCATGGTTTCCATATCGCACCCGATGATCGAACAAATCGAGAGTTGCAGCCGACAGCTATTTCCACCAAATTACGACACCCTCAGTTGCTCGAGACACGTCGCGGATAGCAGACCTATATCAACTCTGACCGACAGAATACCTTTCGATTGCTAATGTCTCGGCCAACGCAAAGGGTTTCAATAACACCGGAGCGTCATGATGGTGTTTGCACGTGGAGACCGCGAGCGCGCCAACTCCGACATTTCCCTGCAGATGGGGCATGCCTCGAGTAAGAACAAATGTGACTCTCACCGCATTTGCCAAGGAGAGAAGAGAGAACGCAGACAAGCATCCATTTGTTTGGTTGCTTTTGGTACCGTGAAGCTTAGCGACACGGTGGGGAGCATACGAGGGCCCAGGACAGCGGCAACAGAACAAGACACCAGGAACGGCTTTCTTTTCCTCGCTTCGGCCTCCCGACCCAACTCCTCGACCTGGCTGCTAACCCGTGGCGTTCAGATCAAAGACAAGACATCTGTATACTCAAGCTAGAGCGCTTTCTTTCCGGGCTTGTCCTCTAACACAGTCCCCAATCAGCATGCTGTGTCACCAGAGCCTCGCCGAATGCTGCGCCTCCTGGCTCGCCATACCGTCTCGTGACCCCGATTCATCACAAATGACCAAACATTCGGGATCTGGGAGAAAAGAAAACTTGTCCTCAGCGCAAGGCCTTGATATGATCAAGCCAAAACCCCTCGTTTTGGACCTAAATCCCCTTGGGCATAGTGTCCAACGCACTTCACGACGGGCCCGTCTGCTGATCCATCATGTTTGGCATCGTCATCTGGAAGTGACCCATCATATTATCCTGACTTACTACAACGCATAGCCGGATAATGAGATTCAATCTCGGCCAACAACCATCACAGAAGAAATTGGGATACCACGGAGCGAACCAAATCCGGTTACATGATGCGAACACTCGGCAAGGGAACCGATCTCCTTCTCCACGATGGCAATCTCGAGCATATCGCACCCCTCCCCTCCCCCTACACACAGATCAGCGTTGATTTAGGTCGAGCCACGCATCTCAAGGCTTCTTTTTGAAGATGGTGGAGAAGACTGAGGCGATTGAATCCTCCCAAAAGGAAAGCCTCTCGTCGTTTGACCAGCCAGGCCCTCCAGGCCCTCCAGGCCCTCCAGATCCCCCACCCCCATGAAGACAAGAAAGTATCACATCTCCGAAGATGGCTGATTCCCCACCCTTCGAAGAAGCACACGGTAGGACAGAGCCTCTCAAGCCAACGTAATTCGCCTTCGCCCAGACGGCCCGCCCCGGGCTTGCAAGGTCGCTCAACCAGGCCGCCAGTTCCATGAGCACACCCTCTGTGGGTCGCGGGTAGTCTCACTTGCTGGCTGGAGGGCCCGACTATCCACCACACACTGAGTCAACCCGTTGTGACCTGTCGATATGACAGACGACGACAGAGGCAGGCGGACATTCGTCTCCTCCCGGACAGCATCCTATCCCGTGCAGGCGCGCCAGCCAGCCTGGCAGACCATGACTTGCACGATGTCCCTCCTCATGTCGCACCGCGGCGGCCCGCTCCTAGGAGCATCCAATGTCCGGCCGTCCCGTTCATGACACCGTTTAGCGTCTCCCAACAACACCTTCGTATCCCGCCTAGTCGGGATCGGTGCCCGTTCCGGCCCTTTACGAACGTAGTACGTCATTGACGCTCCTCGGAGCTACCACCGACGAGCCAGCGAGCGCGAACCCGCCCTGCATGTAGGGTCCAGTAACAATACGATTGTTTATCTAGGCCCTCTTTCTTATTTTCCGTCGGTGGATCACACACACATACAACTACACATCTACACACACAAAGACGCACAGCCCACGAGTTCGGGGGTGCTTCCTCGACCATTGCTCCCACCCCTTGGAAGCGTCGGGGCGGTGGGCGTGAGGCTTACTTCACGATCGGCCCGCCTCGCCGTCTATCAACGGGGTAGGAGGGGGGCGCAAGAGATGCTGAGAGCTAAGAGGCCCTCCTTCGCCTCCCATCCTACGGGACCAACTCGCGGTGTGTCCATGGAGCCACAGTGAAGCTCAGCCAACCAAAGCAACCCATAAAAGCCCACGCCCAAAAGCCACAAAACAACCTCCTCCACGCCATTGGCGAAAAGGACGTTGGAGGACTCCGAGACCTCATGGTCAATAGCAGCTCAAGCAAGCCTTTTTTGATGGATGTTTGGGAGAGACAAAACAAGGGGGTGTGCATGAAGGAAAAGATTTTAGTCTTTGTTCATTCTTTACATTGGTGGACCAATACATAACGAATCTCCAAGTCGTGGCCGGCAATCTCCCCTCTCGGATTCAACAGAACGTGGTGATCCAACGGTTGCTTTGCCCCGAGACCTATCCGTCGGTGAAACATACTCTCAACTCATACCCGACCCGAATCCCCCTTCTCGCCCAACCAGAGGTTGACCCAAAAGTTCCAATACGCATTACACTGCAAGCGCGCGTGGCCTCGCCACTCCCGAGGCCGGCTTACAACTTGGCAGCAGGGCGTGCGCTGCCAATGGCGGTAATCTCATCGTACAGCAGACTGCAAAAGTGACTCGTCAGTTAAAGATGGCCCCATCAAAGACGGGGCTTCCAAGATCAACAATCTCCGAAGGCCCAGAAAGCCACAAGGCGGGAACGCCGACGAAAAGAAATCAGTGCCCACCGCCGGTGGTGGCGACGTGGCGACGCGAGGCGGGATGGATGGATGGATGGAGATGGGCGTCGAAACTTACGTGGTCAGGAAATCAGCGTAGTCCTCCCCAGTGACCTGGCCGGCAAAGTACTGCGCGGCGAGGTGGAACTTGTTGCCCTTGGGTGCCTTGCTGGCCAGCTCGTCGGTCGACTCCTTGAGGAGCTTGAGGGCGTAGGCCTTGTCGACCTTTTTGCCCTCGGCCGTCGACACGCCGTGCTTCACCCACTGCCAGAGCTGGGAGCGAGAGACCTCGGCGGTGGCGGCGTCCTCCCTGGGAATACGGGGTCAGTCTCTCTGCCGCGGTGCGCGCGAATCGCTCTGGGAACGCAAACTTACATCAGGTAGTTGATGGGGACGCAGCCGACACCGCGGATCCAGGCCTCCATGTAGCCGAGGCCGATGTTGAGGTTCTTCTTGATGCCCTCCTCGGTGATCTTGCCTGGGACGTTCATGTTGAGCAGGTCGTTCTGGCCGATCTTGACGTCCTCGCGGCGGACGAACAGCTGGTTGGGCGTCGGCATGTTCTTGTTGAAGATGTCGGAGGCGATGGCCGCCAATGCAGGGTGAGCAACCCAGGTTCTACAGTATCGTGGTCAGTGGCTGACGTGTGACGGGACGGGACACACGAGGCAGTAAGCAAAGCGGGACTCACCCGTCGTGGCCGGCACGCACTTCGCGCAGCTTGTCGGCGCGCACGCCCTCCATGGCCTTGTCGTTGGCGGCCTTGTCGTCCTTGATGGGAATCTGGGCAGCCATGCCGCCCATGGCGTGAACGCCTCTCTTGTGGCAGGTCTGGATGAGGAGCTTGACCTGCGCAGAAGGTTAGTTTTCTTCGACATTCTCACACTGAAGGGGGCGCAAGTCCACTGACGTAGGCGTCCATGAAGGGGACCGTCATGGTCACGGCGCTGCGGTCCGGTAGGACAAAGTTGGAGTTGTTCCTGAACTTCTTGATAGTGCTGAAGATGTAGTCCCAGCGGCCGCAGTTGAGGCCGGAGCTGTGGTCTCGCAGCTCGTAGATGATCTCGTCCATCTCAAAGGCGGCCAGGATGGTCTCGATCAGGACGGTGCCGCGGATGGTGCCGCGGGGCACGCCGACGTAGTCCTGGGCAAGGTTGAAGGCGTCGTTCCACAGGCGAGCCTCGAGGTGGGACTCCATCTTGGGGAGGTAGAAGTATGGGCCGATGCCAATCTTGAGGGTCTGGTGGGCGTTGTGGTAGAAGTAGAGGCCAAAGTCGAACAGGGAGCCCGAGATGGGCTCGCCGTCGACGGTGACGTGCTTCTCCTCGAGGTGCCAGCCACGGGGGCGGACAATCAGGGTCGGCAGCGTCCGGTCGGTACGCAGCTTGTACTCCTTGGAGCCCTGCTTGAAGTCGACCTGGCGACGGTTGGCATCATAGAGGTTGACCTGGCCACTGACCATGTTCTCCCACGTCGGGGCACTTGAGTCTACGGCGGAGGGGGGGGACCCGTCAGTATATTGAAAGCCCGAGCAGCCAAATTGGCTGGCGCAGAGGTCGGCGCAGACTCACCCTCAAAGTCGGCCATGTAAGTCCAGACGTCCGAGTTCAAGGCATTGACGACCATCTTCCGGTCAGTCGGGCCGGTGATCTCGACCCGGCGGTCGACCAGACCGGGGGCGGGCGGGGCGCCCTTCCATGTCGAGTTCTCCCTGATGTGCTTGGTCTCGGGCAGGAAATCGGGGAGGATGCCGCGGTCCAGCTCGGCCTGGCGGAGCTTGCGGCGCTCGAGCAGGGACTTGCGGGTGGCATTGAAGGAGCGGTGCAGCAGGGCCAGGAAGGCGAGGGCGTCCGGCGTCAGGATCTTGCGCTGGGCGTCCGTGACCGCGCCCAGGACGTTGACGCCCTGGAGGATTGTCTCGGTGGTTGCCATTTTGGTTGTGTGTGTATATGATGCTGGTAGTGGTGGTGGTGATGGTGGTGTTTACAATGCAGGTTGTTGTACGCTACTGGCGTCGTCTACGGTCGGCGGCTGCTCTGCGTCAGCACCTGGGTTGTGGCAGAAGGTTTTCACGTGTTGGAGGAATGCATACAAGCTCAAAGCCGTGAGACAGGACGACGGTTGTGGTAAGCGTGCTGCTGTACGGGCCTTTTTGGGGGGGTATCTTTAGAGTTTTGGGGGGGAGAGAGAGAGAGAGAGAGGCAATTGATCTGGAGGAGGAAATGGGAAGAAAGAAGCTGAGGTTCTGGAAGAAGTAGACGAGGGGGGAAGAGGTCTGGGCCGGCTTATGGGGCGGGCGACGAGAAAGTGATATGTAAGGGCGCCGTGTAATGGTCTCGAGAGAGAGAAAGGGACGATCGGCCTCGACGAGTGCCGTCGCAAGCTCGGCACAGACGAGCGAGTCGAGGGGTTGGCCGGCGCGCAGCCGTGGCATGGGCTGGCAATGAATGATGCATGCGCAGACTCGAGGAACAAGCAGAGAGGCGAAAAGGGACCTGGGGAACCTCTGCGGCCCCACCCGAGGTACATGCAAACATGTGGGCATCCGCGCCGGCGGGACAGGTATTTGGGTCATTGTGGGCGATGTACTGGGGAATGGGAGCCATCCCGTCCTAGGTTGTCTGGGTTGCCAGGGCCCCAGGGGAGGGGAGGGACACCGTCAAGGAACCAGAAGCAGCCAGCATCCCGTCCATTGTCGGCAGTCATCGGGCTGGTTCGGGTGGATGGAGAGCTTCAGAGCCGGACCGCGGGGGAGGAGAGGAGGAGTAGACCAAGCGTTGTCGCGTTGGAGATCGGGTTACAAAGGAGCTTCGTCACAGGGAGGGAAAGTTGGAGGCGGCGGCGGACGCTTGTGAAAGTGTGGGGAAGCTGCAGCATGAAACCAGACACCAGAAGAAGAAGCCGAACTTCCTGTCCAAGCCCAGCTTGGTGACTTTGCATGTGCTTGCCGGCTTCGCTGCGTGGAATGTACCGCCCCCCAACCGATCGACCAGGCAGAGAGAGAGAGAGAGCGCTAAGCTCCTTTTCTCTGAAGTTCCCTTCTTGCCATTGCGTTCCGTCGCAGTCAAAGGGGCCAGTCCTCGAGCAGCAGCTCGAGCCAAGGTTCGATCATGGCCCAATGGTCACCGTCCTAGCAACACCACCTCCCAGTGACCTCATTGGAATGCCCATGGCAAATCCCTTTGGATTTGGGGGTGTGCAACACGGACGAGAGGGGAGGGGACATGCGGTTAGGTATTGGTAGCAAGGGTGAGGAGGAGAAAGATGCGTGGTGGGGTCAGACCGCGATAAGACTTGCAAAGAAAATCGACAGCAGCGCGCAAGCACGAGCAGACAAGAACTCTGAAGCAGCCACTCCCGCCGCCCCTGACTTGAAACTCTCTCGACAGGCTTGCCGGGGGGGTGGTCGATTCTCTTACTCGATGCCATCGAGCAATCGTGGAGAAGAAAAGAAAGAAATCTCTTCACTTGTTGTTGAGGGCCTTTTGTTTTCGCGTGGGCTCAAAGTGCATAGGCGCTCCAGTTCCCCCAGTCCGAGGTCGGATCCGGGCGCGATAAGGGGGACCACGGCGGAACATGCGCATGTCGCCGCCGGCCAGAGCCACGGCCGCTGTTGAGAAAGAGAGAGAGGAACGTACCCGCAAGGCCCGCAATTGAAGCTCTCCTCCGGGGTAGGTAGTAAGGGTGGCCAGCGAGTGGAAGCTACGCCGAGATCCACAATTGCTCTCGATAAAAGACAGAAAAACATAGTGACGACTTCGCAGTACGTCTACTCCACGGTGAATGTTCAAAAGATGGCATCGTCAATTCAGTACGGCCCAGATCACCATCTTCATCAACACCGCCATTGCCCTTTGGCATACGTTCATCGCTCCCCACTTGACGTGCTCGTATGACGCAGAGCCCAGGAATACCCGTGCTTCTAACTAATTAGCTTGCATCACGTCTACTCAGGAGATCCGATTCACCGAGCTGCCGAGGTCTGCTCCCCGTGCTACCCCAGCTTCTTGCAAGCCCAATTAGCGTCTCCGTGAATGCCGACAGTTTCCGGACATTGCCGTCACAGACGACAGGCACATGAACCTCTAACCTTCCTAGCAATCAACTTTTGGGATACCTAAGCAACTCGACTCTATCAACGATAACTTCTTGACCTCTAAACACAAAGAAGCTGGATAGCCGAATTTCCGTCTCGGCCTTGGGCGGCGTCTCCTGCCTCGCCGTCCGTCCCCGAGTCCACCTTGCCTATTGATACAAGCCGTAGCCACAACCCGAGGCAAGCCATCCAACAACATTAAGTATCCATCTGCAGCCCAATCGTCCTTCCAATGCTTTCTGGTGCTCTGTATGTCGAGCCGTAACTATGCATCTCGATGAATCAACTCTTGCCTGCCGAAATGAGTGCCCAGTCAATGCTCAAGTCCGGACATATGTCCGGCGAGAAAGTGTAAGAAAGAAAAGAAAAGAAAAGGAAAAGAAACAGAGCCATAGGACCACCACCTGGTCCTCATCAGTCAAGCAACCTCCCAAAGCGGCCACCGAAAATGGAACATCGCTGCCAACCTTCTGACGCCAAATGCAATCTCGTCCATCCTCAGGAATTGAGCGTTTTGATCATCATCTTCTCCTTGGACGTGTCCGTGACAAGCAGGCCGCGTGATCCGAACACCTTCCAAACCGTGTCTACCACCATGTGAAAGCTACTCGCCGCTCCGCGCTCCTGGGTAAACCGTACAATGCAGAGCGGCCCCTTCTTCCCGTGCTCGATCACAGTCATAACCTCCGCGGCAAATGCAACTTCCTTCATGCCTAAGTCTGGGCAAGGTTAGCCAATGAATAACTCCGGGGCATCACCCCAATGCCAGTGGAGAAGACTCACAATTCTCAGCCCCAACGCGGGCAAACACAATGTTTCTCTCCTTGTCGACCTGGATATCTCCCATACCGTAACGTCGCCAGTCTTTAAGAAGGATGACAAGCTCCTGCCGAGCTCGCTTCCGCGACATCACCAAGCACACTTGCCTCGTCGCCGGCTTGACCCCAAATAGTCGGGCAAGCCAGTTCTGATGGACTTCAATGGTTCGCACTCCTCCATCCGAATCTTTCCAGCCCTTAGCTGACTGACGACCAGTCTTGTTGTGGTCGGCCTTTCGATGCTTTGGAGAAGGCGAGTCGTCATACTCTGGGCCTGCATTATAGGTCAGTCGTCCGTGCTCAATCATTCCAATGCTTCGATTGCGATGCATACCGGCAATCTCCATCTTGACTTCTGGCTTGGCTTTGTTGCTTTTCCAAAAGAGTAATCCGAAACCCTTCTTCTTGGCCGCCACTGGCGGACGTGGCTCGTGGAATGCTGTCTCCGACCGGCTCGGGGCTGTGGACTGGGTCGTCATGCTGTACGCCTGAGTTTCCTGGGTTGCCTCGGTATGGATGCTTCCCTCTCTAGAGGTGCTGTCCTTCGAAACACGCTTAAACCATGAAGACTTCTTTTGCTTAGTCGGTCCACCAGCAGTGGAGGGAGTCTGCGGCTCATCTGCGCCTGATGCCCCGTGCATGTAAATGTAGCGCTCATCGCTCTGATCGAGAAGATTTGATCGCTCTGCGGACTTTTTACGGACGTTCAGAGGCTTGGGGATTGGGCTTGTTGCACTCGGCGAGTTGACCACGCGAATCGTCTCGCCTGCCCGAACTAGGTAGTCCAGTCCGTCCTTGTCAGTTTGGCCGCTAGGAGTCTTGGGGGGCGCAGACACAATCCTGTGCCTGTCACTCTCACCCCAGTGAGATGATGACTCTGAGTCTCTTCCGCTCTCATTGATAGCCGGCAGGCGACTTGCCCTCTTGTTGTGCTGTTCTTGCGGGGGTGCAGACACAGTGCGGCGGTCCTGCTTGGGCAACAAAGCAGGGAAGCCCAAGCGGTTGACTTGATCCACGAACTTCCCAACTCGACCAGTTTGTTGTGCATCCTTGTAATGGTGTTCTGACGTTCCTTTTCTCTCAATGATCGGTTTCGGAGATTGCATCAACCTAGGGGCTGGCAAAGGGGGCAGGGGCCGGGTGTCCCATGGGTGGTACGGGTTATTCGAGGCCTCAGTCGATGGTCTCGGTTGCCCAAAAGACAACCCCGTAGATTCTCTCTTTATGGCAGATACTTCATCTAAACACAGCTCGCTTGGCTCGTCGGTGGTCATGAAGCTGTTAAAGGCTTCATCGCAATCCTTGGCGATTTTGTTACTGAAGTTGCGTACCTCCTCATTAACTATGACCGCAGGGTCTCGCGACTTCACAACCTTGAGCTTCGGTCTGGGTCTCTCCATCACAGGGATATGAGTTGGAGGACTTGTTGGGGACTTGGGTCTCTCCTGGCGTCTCTCGTCCCCGCTGACCCCAGAGGCTCTGCGACGCTTATCTACGTAAAGGTCGGTAGACTTCTTTCTTATGTGAGAAAAGTCAACGCCTCTCTTGTGGCGAGAAGCTGGCCGAGCATAAGAAGCTCCGTGTATGCTGCTATGGAGCGAGTTCATGGAGCTGCGAGGCGATTGGAAACGGCCAGTGTTGTTTGTTCGCTGAGAGTTAACGCGCGAATGGCGCAGCGTAGAGCCTGTCTTGATGCGTGACAATTGTGATGTCTGAGTGTTTTCTCGCTTCATGGATTCTCGTCGCGTACGGTGAACCACAACCTTGGCATGACTAGCCTGAGAGTGACCACGCATCGGTCGACTCGAGTTGTAGGGATCGTAGCTCTGAATCGTGCCATCGTCGGTTTCCGCAACGTGCGAAATGACTGTGAAACGCGAGACGCTTCTGCCATTCCCATCTGCTTTGGGCTGGTTGAACTCCACCGTCGACACGCGTTTCTTCCAAATGGGCTCGTGGAGATGATGGTAGTCGCTGGGTGATTGGGAGAGTTCGGGGAGAAAGTTCTCAAGCTGCTTCTGGCGGTAGCTGTGAAGAAGCCAGTAGAAGAGTTTTTGGTCGTTCTTTCTGGTTCTTGTTAATTGTTTTCCTAGATAGTACAACCTGGGTGGTCACATACGCAGAGTCCATAAGCTTCAACTTGATCTGGTGTTCAGTGAGCATGTGCCACAGAGACCGAAGCTGTCTGACCAAATGAGGGTCGACTTCGTGAGGCTTCAAGGGAGTGTAGTGAAACCCCTTGCGAAGGTCATGGAGCTGGCCGCTATTACCGAGGTCATCGAGATGGTCGTACTTGCGAATCAACGGGTGCTGCCACATCTCCTTGATGCTGATTCTTGTGTCAGGATTGGCGACGAGCATACGACGAATAAGGTCTTTGGCCTCCGGACTCAAAAAGTCCGGTATCTCGTATATGCCTCTCTTGGTTTTCTGCAGCAAGGCGCCGATGTCTGGGTCATCGAAAGGCAGGCATGCAGCCAGAAGTGCATAAAGAATGACGCCCAGGGACCAGATGTCTGCTTTGTCTCCACGGTAATGTTTATGCTTCAGAAGCTCGGGGGCAGCATAGTGGGGGCTGCCGCAGGCTGTCACAAGTCGATGATCTGAAGATTGGTGCAAGGCGGCCATGCCAAAGTCGGCAATTTTCACCTTGTTGTCGGACGTCAGCAGAATGTTTTCGGGCTTAAGGTCGCGATGACAGATGTTGAAGGAATGGCAGTATTGGAGAGCGCTCATCATCTGTCGAAAGAGGAACATGGCGCCCTCCTCTGCGAAGCGACCATTGGTATTGATGTAGTCGAATAGGTCGCCCTGCTCGACGTACTCGAGTACCAAATAACTGTTCTCAAGTCAGTTCGCAGAACCCAAGATGGAAGATGATGACGACTTACATTTCTGAACGATTCTCCCAAATATCGTAAACCTTCATAACGTTTGGGTGATCGACTAGCTTCAAGATGGCCACTTCTCTCTCAATTGATAAAGGTACGCGCATCTCACCGTTGATTTTCTCGGGTAGGCTATCGTCGTAGTCGTGGAGCTCAGCGAGGCTGCCAGCCTGAATCAAATAGGCTGTTTTCTTGGGGACGATTTTGACGGCGGCCAACTCTCCGGAAAGACGGTGCTTGCAGAGCCTTACCCGAGCCGAAGAACCCTTCCCGAGAGTCTTTCCAAGTAGCCAGGGTCCAATGTGTGTTTTGTAAGCGTAGCCGCTGCTCCTTTTGCTCGATGGAGCTGTGGAAGCCTGGGAAGCCTGTGACATGCGCTTCGACGGATCTGCCTCTTGGGAAGCCCTCGCTCTTGCCACGGCTGGGTTGCGGGAACTGGATGCAGCGCTCGCCCTTGCTCCTGAGACGGGTAATTCATGCTCGTCGACATAGCGCCGACGATTGGGGCCGGTGGCGTGACTTGATTGACCGACGGGTTTGTCGCGTGGTTTGGAAGGCTTGACGGGAGTCTTGGATGAAGCATTGTTGATGCGTTGAGTAGCATCCGCGAGAGGAGCCCGGGCATTAGAGGCCCTCGGCCGACCAGTTTCGGACATGTCGGCAGCAATATAATGGTTGCAGTCAAAACATTGTCGGGGTTGAGTGGCGCTAATTGGGGATCTCTCGTGTAAGGAGTTGAAAAAGGGAGATGCTTTGACAGGGAGATAAGAATCCTGGATGGTTTTAGCGAGTGAGGAAGAAGAGAAGGTGATGAAGGCCAGAATCTGAACGAATGAATGGGAGTTGGATAGACTGGCTGCCAGAAAGCCAGACAATACAAAGAGGGACAGAGTGTGTGCGTGTGATGTGGTTTAGTTAGTGAAGTTGGGAGAAAGGAAAGGAAGCGCGGATTTCAGGATGATGACTGAGAAGCAAGACGCGCAGGGTTGAGGCGACTGTTATGGTGGGAGGATGGAATGTAAGTGGGAGCCAGAGCTCTGGGACAAGTGAGGCAGTCGGAGAAAAAAGAGAAGGTTCGAAGGGAGGCCTTGGACGAACGTTGCCCCCTTCCCACTAGTGACCTCGAGACCCGTTGAAGGGACGAATACGGGCAGCTGCAAGGTCTCACTGAGTTTCACGATTCGAAGCGGGCAGTGCAGTTGGAATGAGACTGACTCTCCAGAACTAAGCAAGTAGGCCTCCTTGCCAGGCAGAGTGGAAGGAACGAAACAGACCTCTCGGTGCGGGTTCCCCAGGACCACCTTCTACTTCAAACGTCATCGTATGTTCCTTAAGTTTTTTGCCTCGTCACCCAAGAAATGAGAACGCTATTTCGGTAATGTGTAGTGAATACAAGTTTATTCCTTACGCCTGTATTGGGTACTCGGTGGCCTCTGTTCACACGCCACCACAATATGGCCCTTTCTTACTCTGCAAAAGAGCTATTTTGCTTCCATGGACATTCTTTCAGCAGCCCAAACTTCTTCAATACCGGTACGCGTCGCAAGAATCATATGATAGGTAGGTTGCATCGGGTGTCAGAAAGCATTCCTGACCGTGTGGGCCACCGGGCGACGTACACCCTCAGAGGTAGGCGCCGTTGCCCGTAGTGGACGGCGGATTACCACCGGCGTGGAAGGGATGAAGTTCGAAGCCACCGGCGAATCCCACGCCGTGCCGACATCAGCCCCACTGACACTTGCCAGCCGAGTCCCATTGTCCCCACACCGCTGGTTTCGTCTAAGCGCCTGCCATGCCCTCCCGTCCATTGATTATGCCACCTGTATCCAGCTGCCAGCTTCCTCACTTTCCAGCATCCATTAGAGCAATTCCGGGCTACTTAGGATGCCAAGCTTGCTTAGCTGGCTGCCACGCTGTGGCCCGATACTGTGCCAATACTTTGACCAAGACGGTGGCCTTAAAGTGAGTAACAACTAACGTTGACTTCTGTTATGGACCTTTTACCTTCACCAGCAAATGAAAAGAAGAAACAAAGAGAAAATATTCAACAACGGACTTCATAATGGCGCCGATTCTCGCCCGTTTCGCGCACGATCTCCTCATAATCATTACGGAATCTTGGGTCTCGAGGCTCTTGATTGCCTTAACAAATCATGAAAAACAGCGCGATGGCCCAAACGAAGGTTATCTGTGGAACGAGTCTCGAGTTGGCGGCTACTCTACCCCACGCGTCCGAAATGAACGCAGAACAATTGCACGTCCAGTCGACTTGGAGCCGAAAGTGGCCTTTGTGACAACATTAGTCACTGTTCGTATTCTGACACCACTTGCTAACTTGTAATATGGCTTGATAACGAAGCGGCACAATAGCCAATCATCATCCCAGAGACCAGGCTCCCCCGCACCTGTTGCTGCCTGATATAATTGAACTTTTATGCCGGATGGTGATCTACAGACTCGCCTTGACATCAAACTTCGTTCTGCCTGATTCTTGCGACGAGCAATTAGAACATAGTTTCCACCCTTGCCTGCGAAGATGTCAGATCCACTCTCTATCATTGGAAGCGTAGTTGGAATCGCATCCCTCGGCATCACTGTTGCTCAGGGATTGATTGACTACTACCAGGCGTTTCAAGGACAGGCAGGCGATTCTGCCCACACTACCAAGAAGCTTTCACGCCTGCTCGAACTACTCGAGAGCTTGCGTCAACAAATCGAGCGGCGTCAGTTCCACGAAGAAGACAAGGTGCTTTTGTCAAGCATGAGGTCTTCCATGGAAGACTGTAAGGAACTCATTGGTGAGCTTCAAGAGCAGCTTGAGAAGCTCCAACCAGCGCCAGGCCAAGTCAGTTTGCAGAGCCTTCGCAAAGTCAGCCGCCGTCTTGCGTATCCCTTTCGTCAAAGCACACTCCATAAGCTAGATGAGGATGTTGACGAATTCATCGGCTGTTTATCATTGACGATGGAAATAATGCAACAAAGCGACATCAGCAGATTGCAGGATGAGATTGACGAGACCAAAGCGCTGCTTGACCTAGTCAGAACCACACAGATATCGTCAGGTGTCCGAGATTGGCTCAATGCCCCAGATGCCGCTATCAACTTCAATGAGGCGGCAAAGAAAAGGCATCCTGGAACGGGTCTGTGGTTCGTCGAAAGCGTGGATTTTTCATTATGGCTCAGAAAGCCTCGTTCTTTCCTCTGGCTTGTCGGTTTTGCAGGTTGCGGTAAATCTGTCCTGTGCTCTACGGCTATCCAACACGCGTTCAGACACCGCCGGGCGAGCCAAACCATTGGCATAGCTTTCTTCTTCTTTACGTTCAATGACGAGAGAAAACAAGACGCCTCCGCCATGCTGCGCGCCCTCATACTGCAACTATCAGGCCAGCTGGAGGACAGACAACCCTTCTTATCCCAACTGCACGACAAATATCGAAATGCTTCTCCCCCAGATCACGCGCTCACAAACTGCCTGCTCCAGCTTGTACGCGCATTTAAAGACGCATACATTATCCTGGACGCGTTGGATGAAAGCCCCAAAGGAAAACACAGAGAGACTCTGTTAGAAGTCCTGACTGAACTGCGCGGATGGGCTGAGCCTGGTCTGCATGTCATGGTCACGAGTCGGGACGAGGTCGACATTCGTGACGAGTTATGCGCAGAGGCCGACGAGATGATCAGGATGAAAAATGAATACATTGATTCAGACATTGCGTCTTTCATCTCTCAGCATCTCCTCAACAGTCGACGGCTTCGGAAATGGGAGGATCATCGTACACGGATCGAGGATGAACTCACGAAGCGAGCCCAAGGCGTGTAAGCACAATGAACGCAATGCTCCCAAGCGAATACTAAGTTGAACAGATTCCGCTGGGTCGAGTGCCAATTCAAAGCGCTGGCTAGTTGTCCCCAAAGCGAAGACCTTCTCGACAAGCTTCTCGATTCTTTGCCTGAAACACTAGACGACACGTACGAGCGAATGTTAGGCAACATTGCATTGTCATTCAGGGAATATGCTCAACGAATGTTGTTATTGCTTTGTTGCGCAAGGCGACCATTAACAGTTGCAGAATTGACTGAAGGGATTGCTGTCGAACTAGATGGAAAGCCAAGGCTGAACAACAAACGGAAACTCAAGAACGTTAATGCCCTCCAGGAAGTTTGCCCAGGCTTTACTGAGTTGGATATCGATCCCGATACTCAAGAGGTCACATTACGAATTGCTCATTCTTCAGTTCGTGAATACCTGGAATCAGAGCGAATACGTTATTCGAAAGACGGTGCCTTTTTCAGTATTATTAAAGGATATGCTGACACCAATATGGCAAGTATTTGTCTTGCAATCATCCTTGAGCCCGAGTCAAAAGTACTGCCGTCCTATAAACATGATCCGGTTCAAGACATCTTAGCGTTAAGCTCATATGCTGCTCAATACTGGACAAGCCATTTTTCAAACGGGATACGAAACCCAACAACAGACTCGCAGATCTTACGCCTGTTTACAACAGAACAACAGGTTTTTGAACACTGGGTACAGACATGGAATGTTGATGACCCTTATCAAGGGCGGGCACCAAGGGAGTTGCCAAGTTCGCTATATTATGCTGCGGTCCTTGGGCTTGACTTCGTCGTTTCAGAAATTCTTTATAAGAATGTAAACGTTAACGCAGGGGGTGGACGTTATGGAAGCGCTCTCCATGCAGCATCTAAAGGAGGATACAGCACAGTTGTACAGATGCTTCTTAACAAAGGCGCAGATGTCAACGCAAAAGGCGGACTCTACTCACAGACTGCTCTTTATACAGCATCTAAGGAAGGACACGACACAGTTGTGCAAATGCTTCTCAACGAAGGCGCAGACGTTAACGCGAAAGCTGCATTCTACTCAGAGACTGCTCTCTATGCAGCATCTGGGGGAGGACACATTACAGTTGTGCAGATGCTTCTTGATAAAGGCACAGATGTTAATGCACAAAGTAACTCCCACTATGAAACTGCTCTCTATGCAGCATCTAGGGAGGGGAACAGCACAGTTGTACAGATGCTTCTTGATAAAGATGCAGACGTTGACACGGAAACTAGAGAGGGCAAGACAGCTCTCTATGTAGCATCTAGGAGGGGGGACAGCACAGTTGTACAGATGCTTCTTGATAGAGGTGCAGACGTTGACACGGAAACTAGAGAGGGCGAGACAGCTCTCTATGCAGCATCTAGGAGGGGGGACAGCACAGTTGTACAGATGCTTCTTGATAGAGGTGCAGACGTTAACACAGAAACTGGAGAGGGCAGGACTTCTCTCTATGTAGCATCTAGGGAGGGGAACAGCACAGTTGTACAGATGCTTCTTGATAAAGATGCAGACGTTAACACGGAAACTAGAGAGGGCAAGACAGCTCTCTATGCAGCATCTAGGAGGGGGGACAGCACAGTTGTACAGATGCTTCTTGATAGAGGTGCAGACGTTGACACGGAAACTAGAGAGGGCAAGACTGCTCTCTATGCAGCATCTAGGGAGGGGAACAGCACAGTTGTACAGATGCTTCTTGACAAAGACGCAAATATTAACGCAAAAGGTGGACGTAACTATGGGACTGCTCTTTATACAGCATCTGAGGAAGGGCATAACACAATTGTGCAAATGCTTCTCAACAAAGGCGCAGACGTTAACCTAGAAGGTGAACAGTATAAGACTGCTCTCTACATAGCATCTGAGGGAGGACACGTTGAGGTTGTGCAATTACTCCTTGATTTTGGTGCAGATGTTAACGCAGAAGGTGGACGGTGTGGGACTGCCCTTGACGCAGCATCTGAGGGAGGATATAACACAGTCGTACAGATGCTTCTTGCTAAGGGTGCAAACGTTAACGCAGAAGGTGGATTATATGGGACTCCTCTCCACGCTGCATCTGAGAGAGGCCACTGCACGGTTGTGCAAACACTTCTCCATGAAGGTGCAGACGTCAATATAGAAAGTGAAGAGTATAGGACTGCTCTTTATGCAGCGTCTGAGGGAGGGCACGAGAAGATTGTGCAACTACTTCTTGATTTTGGTGCAGATGCCAATGCAGAAGGTGGACAGTATGGGACTGCTCTCAACGCAGCATCTGAGGGAGGACACGACACGGTTGTGCAAATACTTCTCGCCAAGGGCGCAGACATCAACGCAAAATGTGGAAAGTACTAGAACGCTGTCAAGTATATATCAGTATAAAGTTACCGAGATATTTAACAGCTCCTACTGAATACGGAAGTAGACGTGATGGAGGCAGCCGCTGTGGCAATGCTCCTTATACTACACCACCAGGAAGGCAACAAGAAACTGTACAACTGCTTCGACAAAAGCCCAATTATCATCAAGCCATTCTTAACATAACACATCCCATCAACTGCTAGTGGCCGTCAGTATAGGTAGTGCAAAGGACAGTCAATCAGAGACGAAGTGGTCATCAGTTTTAAAAAATACATGTTCCGTTAGGTGAAGAAAAAAAACGAACCCCGCGCCCCCCCGAAAAACCCGGCGGTGTCTTCTTGCCAGCCGAGCCCCACCCAGCGACCCATCCCATCCCTACAGCGAGCCAAAGCGACTTACATAATCCGTGGCTTTCCTGATGTGTCGTTCATCTGAGCTACCTGTACCCTGAAGGGAAAAACGCGGGGTGAGAACAGACCCGACGCGTCTAGATTAGGTCCTTCGCGTTGCACTCAATCACCAAACGAGCTATCTTCGTAACCCATACAACACTGATTAATGCCCAAATCGACGACAACTCCCATCTCCATCTGACTCCGCCGCAACCGAGACCACATTCCGTCACTTTGACATCGGACTTCAACGATACAATAAATATGTCCTCTCGTCCCTCAGGTCGCCGGCGGCGACGTGACTTGGAGGACGACGATTCAGAAGAGCGTTCTGATGCGTCGGAAGGACCGAAGCGGCCTCGCCTGGGACGACGTGCCAACGATTTCGATGTCGACGATGATGAGGAAGACCACAGAAACGGGACCCAAGCCAATGGGGTGAACGGAACAACAAGCCATTTCGACAAAGATGGCTTCTCGCCTGGCGCCATTCGCCGCGTCAAAGTCGAGAATTTCGTCACATACGAAATGGCAGAATTCTTCCCTGGACCAAATCTCAACATGGTTATCGGACCCAATGGAACGGGAAAGAGTTCACTCGTCTGCGCTATCTGTCTAGGCCTCGGCTTCAGCCCGAAACACCTTGGCCGAGCCGGTAACGTCAAGGAGTTTGTTAAGCATGGCAAGTCTTCCGCCATCATCGAGATCGAGTTACAGCGCCGTCCCCAAGACCGATCACACCATGTCATCCGAGTTCAGATCGATCGTGAACGAAACAGTCAGAAATGGTGGTTGAACGGCAGGGATACTACGCACAAGACGATACAGGGCCTCATGAGGGACCTCAAGATCCAGGTCGACAACCTCTGCCAGTTTCTGCCACAAGACCGAGTTGTCGAGTTCGCATCCGCTACGCCCGTCGACTTGCTACACGAGACTTTGCGTGCCGCTGCGCCACAGGAGATGCTGGACTGGCAAAAGAGCCTCCAAGACTTGCACAAGGATCAAAAGGAACTTCAGCGTGGTTCCGACTCGGCAGGCGACCACTTGAGACAACTCGAAGATCGGCAAAACGATATGCAGCAGGATGTTGATAGACTACGCGAAATAGAAGAGGCTCAGCAACAGATTGCTGACCTCACCGATGCTCGGGCCGTAGCCGACTATCTTGAGTCCAAAGCGCTCTACAAGGACAAGAAGAAACAGGAAAAGCTCGCCCAGAAGAATTTGCAGAAGCTCGAGCAGGAGGCCGCCCCATCTCTGCAAGCTGTCAACCGGAAGCAAGAATACCACGACGAAGTGGCGACCGTGGTTCGCAGACGCAAAGACGTATTGCGGCGAGCGGAAGCCGGTGCAGATGCGGCGCTCAACCGCATCGAGGATGCTGACGAACAGATTAAGGCGGTAGAGGCAAGCATCGAGACCAATCGAAAGGGTTTCGAGGCCAAGAAGCAAGAGTTAGGCAAGATTCGAAGCAAGATAGGTGCTTTAGAGAACCAGAAGAAGAACAAGCCTCCCGAGTTTAATGCTCAAGAACACAACTCTCAAATCGTAAGTGCTGTCCTTCTGGTCTATTGTAGACTGCCCTGACAAATTCCGCAGCGAGAGAAGGAACATCAGCTTCGAGAACTCGAGGCTGACCAACGCCAAGCCGAGGGCAAAATACGAGAAATCAAGGAGCAGGGTCATGCCAAGATTCAATCGAAAAACCTGCTTAATCGAGAGCTTGAAGGGCTTGATTCTCAGCAGGGTCAGGTGATCAATTTCATCCAAAAGAAGTGGCCTGACGTGGCCAAGGGTTATCATTGGCTTCAGGAGAACGCCGGCATGTTCGAAAAGGAGGTCTTTGGGCCGCCCGCCCTCTGCTGCTCCGTTAAGGATGAACGTTTCTCGGATCAGGTTCAAGCACTCCTACACAACGATGACTTCCTCTGTTTCACGGCACAAACTCGGGAAGATCACAAGAAGCTCAGTCATTACTTGTACAAGGAACTGAGTCTCTCCGTCAACGTTCGCTCGATTCTCAGACCACTGGACGAGTTCCGGCCTAAGTTGTCCCGGGACGAGCTCAACGCCCTTGGACTTGACGCATTTGCACTTGACATGTTGGTCGGGCCGGAGCCTGTTCTTGCAATGCTCTGTAACGAAAAGAAGCTGAACGCCGCGGGAATCGCTTTGAAAGATGTCGACGATGCTCAGTACGAGCGCATTGCCCAAGGAGAAGTCATCAACAGTTGGGCAACAGGCCGGCAGCTGTACAGAGTGTCTCGGCGTAAGGATCTTGGGCCTGGAGCCGTTTCGACAATGACCAGGGGCATTCAACAAGGCATGTTCTGGACAGACCAGCCAGTTGATGAGGCCGAAAAGAATGAAATTCGGCGCAAGATCAGTGAGGTTGAGGCCGAGTACGACATCCTGAAAGCCAAAAACACAGAGATTCGGGAGCAGATGGCTGGATTCGCTAGCGTCAGAAAAGAGATCAATGACGATCTGGTAAGATGTGTTCTCCCCCAAATACGACTAGCAAGCTAACCAAGCGCGCAGAAAATGCTCAGAGAAAGGAAGAACGAGCTTCAGAAAGCCCACAATGCCTACCAGGGAATTCCTGTCAAGCTGGGTAAGTAGAATCTTGCCACAATGGTAACAGAGAGACTAATTTCCGCCCAGAAACCGAGAAGAGGGCCTTGGACCAGAAGAAAACAGAAGTCGAAGAGGCGAGAGCAGCCAACCTGCAGCTAAGCTTCGATCTCGACAACGCTATTGTGCACAAGGCCAAGGCCACCCTCAAGCACCACGCAGCCATTGCGGCCATTCGGACAGCACAGGAGATGTTGCTGGAGGCCCAGATCCGCGAAATTGAAGCCAAGTCTGACGTCCAAGGTCTCAAGGCTAGGAATACTGAGTTAGTCCAGATGCTGGAAGAGGAGAAGCGGAACATTGTCGCCTTTAGCGAGGAATCTCAACGGGCCAGACGGCGTGCCGAAGAAGCCCAAAGCAAGGTGATTGAGATCTTTGCGAGAGACGAAACCCGAAAGGACCTTCTCGAGGAGCTGGCAAGGAACAAGACGGTCGAAGACATTGACAACGACATCACTGCAAAGCAGACCAGCATTGAGCTCATCCAAGTCGCCAATCCGGGGGCTTTGCGTGAATTCGAAAAGCGGGCTCGAGAGATTGAGAAGCTACGTTCGAAGATGGAGGCGTCAACAACCAAGCTGGACCACCTGAATCGCCAAATCACAAAGATTCGCGAAAAGTGGGAACCGAAGCTCGATGAGCTTGTCAGCAAGATCAGCGATGCCTTCAGCTACAACTTCGAGCAGATCAACTGTGCCGGCGAGATTCGGATCCATAAGGATGAAGACTTTGACCAGTGGGCTCTGGACATTATGGTCAAATTCAGGTATTTTTCTATAACCTTAGCCTGCATTTTGCAATTTCTAACAAACGCGCAGAGAGAACGAGACGCTCCAGCAGCTCAACCAGCATCGCCAATCTGGCGGCGAGCGAGCCGTCTCCACCATCTTTTACCTCATGGCCCTCCAGTCTATGGCCCAGTCACCCTTCCGTGTGGTTGACGAAATCAACCAGGGTATGGATCCCCGCAACGAGCGCATGGTGCACGAGCGTATGGTCGAGATTGCGTGCCGCGAGCACACGTCACAATACTTCCTCATTACGCCCAAGCTGCTCACTGGCCTGCGGTACGACCCGCGCATGCGCGTGCTTTGCATAGCCAGTGGAACGCACATGCCCAAGGACGGCAAGAAGCTCGACTTCGCCCGTTGCTTAAAGATACATAAGCGCGTCGCGGCTGGCGCGTAGGCATAACGGCATTAGGAGTAGCGTACGGTGGTCAGTTTTATGTTGGAGTTTTTGGCGTCTTGGAGGACAGGTATCATTCAGTGACGATACCCTTTGGTTGCGATTCGACACAATGATTTTCATATGGCATAGAGTTGTTTACAAAGAGCTCAGGCTCGTAGTGCAGATATATATTTGGCTGGGTGGCCTTTGAGGCTCTGTCACGGTCAAATACTCGGCACTTTATTTCTACTTAATGGCAAACCAGAGGCCATTCTACGCTGTTTAATGTGAACAGTTGCAAGGCCACAGTGACCCCAATTGTGTTGCTCATCGTGGGTCGGTGAATCCAACCATGCAGGGCCAGGCCAGAGATGCGCAATCGATATGCCTGCCATACATGAGGTCATTATTTTGTACGAAAGGACGCACAAGCGATGGACTACTACTGACATGGCAGAGGAGCCCGGCAGGGTGGCGTAGTGAGGAACAACCACTATTCACAACAGTTGATCCGAATGCCAGAGTGTCAGTATGGAAATGGGAGTATCGTGTGTAATGAAGGCCTACCCCGCCGCCTTATCTGGCGGAATGTCTGCCGGAAAGGCGATCGAATGAGAAATGTAGATAAAACATTTGAATATAAATGACCAAGCTGAACGGCGATGGATTCATCTTGCTTGCCAAGGGGCGCCAAAGTCGTCGATCTTGCCATCCTGCTGTTCTTTGCTCTCAAGCCGCCCAGCTCGAAAAGTTGACGGGTTTGGTCTGTTGGTAGAAGAAGCCCTGAGCAGCTCAAAGTGGGCTATAGCCTGCTATCTCACACATAGGAGAGCGGACGGGATCCCGAGTTCTCTGGTCGGTACAGCCATACGTGCTTGGTTTACGTCCACTGGCATTCTGTGCCGGGTCGAGTCAAGAGACCGATTTGACATCAAGTCTTTTCTTGGAACTCTCATACCGTGTTCCCATAACCAAATTTCTTGATGAGAGAAGGTTTCATTCAAAGGCCTTACGTACTAGCCTTGGTAGTCGACTGGGATAGTCTCGTGACGGCCTTCGACAGGCTCATGAAGTGCTGTCGCGTTGCCAGGGATCGCTTGATTAACACCGTATAAGTGACAACATAAGTCGCAGCGCGCCTCAGCGCGTACCAAAATTTGTTGACTTGATCATCTGAGCTCTGGAATCTGGTTCAGGTGATGATGAACAGCTTAGCAGCAAGGGACCATCATCAATCTCAAGTGCCGAAGAATCTAATGGCAGCGGCGCCATGCCATATTCGAGTGATATTCGAACGATATTGGGCTCAGTTGGAGGCTATCCTACGGAATGCACGAACAATGTCATTATATTAGTTCCAGAAATGGCCGTCGCAGTGACGTGGTATTCCCTCTGAATCCGGCGTGCCAACGTGGCAGTGTAGAAGAGGACATTCTTGGGCTGTGGGTGCCATTCCAGAGCGGTCCTGTTTGGATCCGCCTCATTTGGGCATTGTTGACATCGAGCGGCCTTGACTACTTACTCTGCTTATCTGAAATGACTCGCTTAAACTCGGCGTGCACTATATCCCGCACGATAAACTGGCAGGCGCGTTTGGCCAAGAGTATGTTGAAGACGTCACCCACTTACGATGAAGACCTACTTGACGTCTCCGAGAACTTGGCTGCTTTGTGGAACCAATTCATCCGGCGGTACTTCGAGTCATGCGACGTGGAACAATCTGATAGTGACTTCAAGCATAAACATGGGGGAAACACGAACGCTCTCATCTTAATCAAAGGGTCGTCAAGGGAGCGAGTGTCTCGTTTTGGCACTTATAAACAGTATATGCTCCGCAGCCGACCTCGTTCTTGTTCACGGTGCACCATCTCAGGGCACGTCTATTCCAAACTGATCATCACAGCTTTAGTTTTGCCATCTGAAAGACTAATTAAGTTAGATCAATAACCTCTGGCTCTGCTTTCCGCTTCACAGCCCGTGGCGGAACATTACTTGGTTGTGGAGGGGTCGGTGCTGTTGCCGCCAGCGCCGCAGGGCCAAGACTTGGCAAGGGCTGCAACGGACCACCTGAGTTCGCCGTCACCGGCACAGGGAATCTGTTCAGAGCCGGTTCACGTGCAGTGTTAAACGGTCCGGGCACCGGCACGTTCCTCGGTGGCGGGACAGCAGGCGTGGCGGCCGCCGGTCTCACTCCCGGCAAGGTACTGGGCTGCGGCGGGCCCGCCGTCGGTGTGTGCGTGACTCCTCCACGTCCCGGTGCCAGATTCACCGGCCGCTTCCACAGTCCCTCCGCGATAGCAGGATAATCCTCGCCGAGCAACAGGCCCAGCTTCGTCTGGTCAAACGACTGGAACACCTCGGCCGCCTTCTTCTGCTTCGCCTCGTACTCCGCGTCCTCCTTCTCTCTCAGCTTCGTCACAACTAGCGTTTCCAGCGGCCCGCTCCGATCGGTGACGTGCGAGCACGGAATGCCGCGCTGCTCAATCTGCTTGTGCAAGTGATGCCGCGCCCTCTTACCGACAGGGAGCCGGCAGACGTACCTGCTAGGGTCCCTGAGGAACGTCAGGAGGATAAGACAATTGGCGCAGGTGCAGTGCAGCTGCACTCGGACGTTCACACCGCTGTGAGGGTTCATTGCCTGGTTGGCTGGTTTCTGGCCGACGTAGTTGTCGCGGTAGGACTCGAGAATGGCGCAGAATATTTGCTGGTAGCGTGGGGTGGTGAGCGGAGTCTCTGTGATTCCGAGGAAGGAAATGAGTCTCTGCAAAAAGGGGATCCATAGCGGATCAAAGTCGGCGGCCTGCATCTTTGGGGCGAAGCTGACGAGCTTTATGGCCAGCGGAATCACCAGGTCCTCGCGCGGAGGCGAGCTCAACTTGATGAGGGTGCCAAAGAGTTCCGCCAGGGCTTCGGGAGTCACGGCTAGATCGTTGTAGGCGGTAGTCGTAGGTTCTGGTGCCGTTTGGCCGTAAGTATGCCTTGCCGCCTTCTGGATCTGCTCTTCCGTTCTGGGGCCGTGGACCTTGGTGAAGTCCAGCTTCGCTATAAAGTCTTTGACGAGTCGTTTGTAAAGCTCAAGTGCTTTCCTGCCTGGGAACTTCTTTTTCCTGGCATGGAAAATCAACGTCGACGAGAATTCGAGCGCGAAAGCCGGTATGCTGAAGTGATCTTCGACCAAGGGCACGATGCTACAAGGAGAGTGAGCCTGACGTTGGAACGAAGCGGTATCATGGCACGTACATGGAGCAAAGCCAGTCAAAGTCGGCGTACTTCTCCGCGTTTTCAACCATCCACTGACCATCCTGCCGTACGAAAGAAGCAGACTCGGCAGAGGCTTTCAGACCTTTGACGAGGGTTTCATGTACCCACTCCCGAATCTCGTCGGACAATGGCTTATCAGCCGGAGCGAATGCCTGTATCGCCTCACAGCATTCAGAAAAGCGGTTGCATCCGAGAACCGTGGAGGCCAAGCTGTCGAACGCACGCATGGTTAGTATGGATTTTCCAACACAGCAGGCACGGACAGAACGTACCCAGTCCTAACCTTGTCAAATGGCACTCTGCCTTCGTCAACCTGCTCACGGAGCCATTCGTAGTACGTGAAGGGCAAGGCACCGCGGATGTGCTCAGCGGCGCTCTCGAAAAAGTCCCACTGCTTCATTTCAATGATGGCTCGCAGTATTGTGCTAATGGCATTGCTGTCCAATCTCAGGCTGGCCCCATCGACCCGGTGAGCGCACCGGTTCCAAACATCCTTGAGCGTGGCAAAGGCTGATTCCTTGTTTGGCGTGCCCTTCAAGACCGAATCTGCGAGGTAAGTAAGCAGGAGCTTGATGCTCTCGTTATTGTGATAGAGGTTCGAGCCGAGGAGGGATCCTTTGAGGAACTGGGCAATTCTGTCCCGGCGGACGATCAGTACGGCCTGCGCCGGTCATCAGTCAAGGAACCTGCACGTATACCGGGAGATGATTACCGTCACACAGTACCAGTGAGTAGCCGTAGGTCCCTGTGATTGCTTGTCAGCATGCTCTGCATTTTCAAAGTCTTTCGAGTGTGACTTACCCAGTTACCCTGGTATCCTTCGTACTCCTCCTTCCGTTCGACCCCGTCAAAGAAGTCGTCGGCTTGAAGACAATTGTCCTGCGACAGCATCATATCGCGAAGGATGGGACGTCCCCTTAGGTCCACAAGCACCTTGACAGAGAGTTCCGTCTCAAGCACTTCTTCGAGCTCGTGAGGCCCCGACTCTTCGTCATAGTCGGATTCGTCTTCACCGCCATAGTAGCCATAGTCTCTGCGACTGTGGCCGTTGTATCGGGGATCATAGCCATTGGGCTCGGCGGAACCCGTCTCCTTCTTCTCCGTCAAGGCCAGAAGTACGTCGAAATCAAGCTCGGAGGCTAGCTCCTGCAGGGTCTGTACAACGGCCAGATCCCGCCCCTTCAAGGCCTTCACGGAGATGCTCGCCTCCGTGTACTCGTGGTCCAGGCCGTAGTAGACATGGTCCACCTCCCCGCTGTCGGCCCCCTTGCGCAGCCACCTCCTCAGGGTGTGCCGTAACGCGCGGTTCTCGCTTCGCACGAGTCCGGCGGACGGGCGCTCAGCTGCCGGGTCGATCGCGAGGTTGTACGTCAGGACCACGCGGTAGCCATCCGTGATGGGCAAGACCTCGTGGTGGACGTCGGAGTACCAGCAGGCGAAGGACTGGGCGGCCTCGGAGGTCTTGAACGTCTTCGTCTGGCCGGAGTGCCTCACGACTACGTCGCCTCCCTTGTGCACAGAGGGCAGACAGACGACGAGCGTCCCGAACATGCCAGGACACTTTTCAGTGCTGGGATACAAGTCAGCCGATGCACTGCCATGGACTTGCGCTCCGTACGTACTCGGTATGGGCCTTGAACATGGCCCCCTTTTCGTAAACCAGCAGCTTGTACAGCTCCGCGTTGATCGGGGACTTGATGCCCATGTCACGGGCCACGATTGCGCATATCTTCTGGAGGTCGGCCTCCCAGCGGGGACTGCGCAGCTCAAAGTGGCTGGGGTCCAGCTCCCACGTGTCTCGCACCGTTGGGTCAACGATGGTTTCGCTCCCTTTGCCAAAGGGCGCCTGGACGGCCTTGTCAATCATTTTCCGGATCTGCGGTTCCTGCAACGGCAGGATGATGGGCCCGACATCGTGCACAGAGAGCTCCGGGTCCACGTGCTTCAGCCCGTGGAAGGAGGCGAAAGTCCCCGGTGTCTGGACGGCGTCCAGCGCACGCAGGAGGTCGTTCTCAAATGTTTCAGAGGCCCATGCATCTGTGCTCAGAGCGCTGCTAGCCTCGGAGGCGGCATCGTCGTCGTCGCCGCCGTTGACGGCCCGCTGGTTTCCTATAGGTTGTTTGGCGATTCCAGCGTTGTCAGCAACCTTGTCATGCTCGGCCATTCCGGCATCGTGGGTGGACCCGGTCGGAGGCGCCTCAGACGCCGATGCTTCAGTCGCGATGTCCTCGGATGCAATCGCAGTCGCGGGTGCAGGCGCAGGCGCCCCCTGGGGAATTTGTGAGGGCTCAAAAGGAGCCGCCGCCGCCGACGTTTCTCTGCTGGTATCCATCCTGGCTCCTAAAGTTCCAGACGTTGTGCATCATGAAGGGGCCCCAAACAGCTAGACTGAGGTCGTCGACATCTGCAACCTTAGTTGGGTTGGGAAAGAATACGCGACGCGTCAGGGGTTCATCATAGGGCGAAGTGAGAAAACTCTATGGCCCCTGGGACTGGATCGGCCTCTCCCACCTCCTGCTAATCCTCCGCCAGCCACAAACATCCAATCCTAACCAACCCATTTAAAATTTTAGGTACAGTTCGCTGTAGATTCCTTACTCGCAACAGCATCCACCCCCTATAAATGCGCCTGTCTATAGTAGCACTGCATGGTACCCATCGTTGAACTTGCAGTTAGGTTTTATCTTACACCCGGGATGGCAGCGCCACGGCCACAGTGGGTCCAGGGCCAACCCCGGCCGAACGCCGTACCGTAGTAGCCGCCGCGTTGAGGGTTCGTGCGCTTCGGGACGCGGCGCGCTGGCGAGCCCGCAACCCGTTCCGCGTAGTCGGATCCATGTCGGCCTGGGCTACCGACGATGCGGTTTCAAGAGCGAGAAATATGTCTACAGGCATGTGCCTTGGAGGCCTAGGTGCAAGGAGGTTCACCAACATTGACCAGGGAACCGCCGCTGGGCGAGATGACGACGACAGCGGTAACAGCGACGGAGAGGAGGGCGGCCATCTCAGATGAGATTTCACTATTCGGCCGACGGCTAGAGCTTCATACGCCATGTCGTGCCTTGCCGTTTGGACATCTCGATCCGAATCGGAACACCCTAAAGGTCGAGTCGACAAGCAAGAGGCTGCGTCTAGCTCTTTCGAGTTTTCTGGCTGTCACGTCACGGTCATCACATTACTCACTCGAGATCATCACAGCGCGGGGGGTCGAGCAAAGTATAGCGAACATCTTCGTATTCGCCTAAACGACCGTGCCATCTCGGAATTGTTTTGTGATTTTCCCCAAGTCCCGTGGCCCGCTCCAGGTGACCATTCATCGGATAGTTTCCTTATCCAGTGTCATCTCTGCCCAGCCGTTTGGGCTTTCCAGTCAAAGCCGTCGCAAAAGATTCCCAAAGACCATTGTCATTCTCAAGGGTATTGCCAAAAAAACTCAAAAAAAACTCCCATTGTGCCCCAGACCAGAAAGTCCAAAAACCCCAAAAAGTCATGTTGTGTACTGTGATGCCGTCCATCACTTCTTCCTGGGTTGGTGGTGGGTATTCAAAACTGTCATTGGCCGATTTATCCGTGTTTCGTTAGACCCCCTTTCTTTCCCATAGGGTATACCCAAGATTTGCGTTCCGTGTATGCCGTGCGTGTAAAGGGAGAAACAAAAGTGCTCGCCCAATCGACCGAGTGATTGCGAGTCCATGCCAAGACGTCGGAGTTGCCCGAACGTCGATTGCGTATGCTGGAAAAGTTGTACATAGGAAAAAAATGCGAACAGAAAGGGCACTGGGTGGCGTTGGATAGTGTAGATTTCGCTGGTCGCTTGTCGGTCCAAATGCTTGAGGAAGAAAACAAAGTGTTTGATGTAATGGATTGGCCATCACTAGCAATAGAAGGATGAAATCTGTGCATGCTATAGACCGCTCAACCCCAGATCGGGACGTTACGATAGGCAGGCGAGTTGTAACTGTGCAGGACACGATAAGGCGTGTTCCCGTTGGCGTGCACACTCCGACTACGGCTGTGGCTCCGAACAAGACCTGGCTGAACAGCGTCGGGAGAGTAATATCCCTGCTGCTCCCATTGCTGTTGCTGGACATCCAGAAGCTGCTGTCGGTAGTAGCTGTCGCTCAGGCTGGGGCCCTGGGTGACTGTGGGGGGTCCCCGAGCCACAGGCCCACGGTACTGGATGTAGCTGTCGTAGCTTGATCGATGGCGAAGTTGCTGCTGAGGATGGTACCCGGCTGATGTACCTAACCCACTCGAGGCCGGGCGAGGATCTTGGCCGAGTTTAGGACCCCGGCCGTTGCTTGGGCGCCATTTGTCCTCGACGGTCATGCGACCCATGGCGGATTGTTGCTCGAGCTTTGCCATGCCTCTTCGAGGGCTCATCGGGGAATGGGCGGCACAGACAGCGCATCGTCCAGCGCTGCTGCCGCCGAGGTCGATGGATAGCTGTGAATGGTCTCGCGGCTGGCGCGTCTGGGCAAAGTCTGCCTCCTTGACTGATTCGGTTCATTGGAATGCGCGGACTTGGGACGCGGGGCCTGCTTTCGGGTGTTCCTGGTGTTTCGAGTGTGGAGACTGATCGGCGGCGATGACCTCCTCTTGGCCACCGCATCCAGAACCTCCAAGTTTTGTGAGGCCCGCCGATTGGGCTGTTGAGCGGTTGAAGGCATCGGTTCGGCGGAATAGAATGACATGCTCAAATCGCGCTCCATTTGCGCCGTCATTGTCATTGTCCGTTCACGCGCGGCACGAACAGGCTGCTGACTGGGCAGCGCCATGAAAGCCTGGTCGAAAGCGCTCTTACCGAGACTTTCGCCAACGTTGCCAATGGCAGTGATGCTCGACTCGAAACCAACCTGGATCTCGTCGGCCCTTGCCTCTCCGACGAACTCCGTCCTGTCCTTGGAAGTGGAAGGGAGCGGTTTGCGATGGAGGGAGCGCCGAGGCATTACAGAGGCAGCAGCGTGCGCAATGGAGGCCGGTACCGACTGGAAAGAGCGGTGTCTGGGTGTCTTGGGCTTCTCGAGAGGCTGAGGCGCTTCAGCGACGGGCTCCCCAGCCACCTGATTGCTGTCGGCCAGAAGCAGAGACCCTTGCTGACCCTCGACGTGACCGGGAACAATGCTGCCAACACTAAGGATAGTGTTGAGCGTGTCCTTGCTGGCCTGGGTGCGAAGAGTCAGGCGCTTAGTCGTTGTCGGAAACCGCTCAGAGTGCTCGCCAAGTTTCACCTGCACATCCTGGGGCACGGAGGGGACCGGCTTGTCAGAAGGGTGCGTCGCGTGAACAGCAGGCGGTCCCCGCATGCCGGATCCATTGATGAACCTTTGGAATTTGCCTGCACGTCGCGAACCGGTCCCGATACTCAAAGCGGAGGTCGAACCCTCGGGGCTAGCGCCGCCCGACTGGACGGACTCCGGAGATGTGAACGCTTCCTTGGCCGATTTGGCACTGTCAATCCCCGCAGAAGCCTTGCGGTCTTTACGGAAAGAATGACCTGCGTTCAGGTTGAAGAAGAATCTGGCCGGCGAAGTGGCCATTGTAGGGCTTTTCAGAGAAGCAGAAGAAGCGTCCTTGGGTTGCAGAGACGGAGGAATAGATGCAGGTTGCAAAGAATCAGTAGCGAGGCCGTCGGCATTGGAAGGGCCAGCAGTTGGGCGTTCGTTGCTGACTGCCTCGACCGGGGATGCAACATCGTCTGACTGCTCATCGCTCGAATCCTCGGATGCAGTACGGCGGCGCTGGTCGACCCCTGAAGCAGACTGCTTGGCATGGAATGACCTAAGTGAGACATTCGAGCTGTAGCCTGAATCAGCCTTGGACAGGGGCTTCGGCTGCTCAATGGTTGGGCTAGCAACGACTCCGCTGTCAGTGCGAACAATTGATTGGGAATTCTTCTGGGACTGTTCCGCACGCAGTCGTTCGAGACTTGGTTTCGCATTCGGGTCATTTCTGACAGTTAGAACCTCGGCTGAGTACTCCATTTCCACGTCGTCTTCGAAAAGCTCGTCTTCCAGAGCAGTGTGCTTGGAAGTGGTTTGTAACTCTGGACTGAGTGGCCTAAATCGAGTCAGCATAAGCCGTCTCATGGTGCCCTACAAGAGATGGTTTCCTCCGCACGAATTGGCAAGGGAGACTACTAACGAATTGGGACCCTGCCTCCGCGATTCCACCTTAAGGAAAGACATATTGATGGGACTAAGAGCAGTGCTGGCATGGACTGCCGACACGGTGATTTCGACGTTCTTGCTGTCACTCTCCGACTTGCCCGGCTCAGCATCCCGACTGAAGTACTCTTCGTTCCCGCCTTGCGACTTCTCCGGCACTTCGAACTTAGCCTGGGGCTCAAAATCCGGACTTGGGAGGGGACTGGCGACTCCATTCGTGATACGTAATGAACCGAACTTCATGGCACCAAGTGGCCGATAATCCATGTCCGAAGGCGTCAAAGCCCTTTCAATGGGTTCTGTTACTGGCGGAGGCAAGTAGTCGGGCTCGGAGAAAAGCTCGGTCACTGGTTGTATAGGATAAGCGCTCGACTCGATCGAGTTCATTCGCGAGCGCCCGCCCGCTGGAGTTGTCGGAACACTGTAGCGCAAGCTTGACCTCCTTGAAGCAGAATAGTCCGTCGGTAAGCGCGTTGCAAGACCTGGCGTTTGGATCATCGACCGTCGCCGCACTGGTGCGTAGAGTGATACATCGGAGTTGGCTCGCGGAAGCTGGGAGACGGGTGGCTGGTGTGGGTGAGAGCTCTTCCACGTGCTTGGCGATACTTCGAAATGGCTTTCGGACATGATGGAGCTTTCTTCGCAGGCCGCAAGATCCTCGGCCAGGTTCAGCAGCCTCCTCGATTCGTACGACATAAGATTGTAATTTATAGATTGCCGGTTTCCGGGGATATGCCAACTATTTCGTCAGGAGTCAGCTGGTGCACCTTGCAACATTGTCAAGTCTTTCATACCTTTCTACCTGGAGTTGCCTCGAGGTAGCCATCTCTTGCTGGGTTTCCCAAGTCATGGAGTTGGCCCTCGACATTCTGTCTGGGACTGGCGGACTCAGCGTTACAGTCTCTCTGTGTCTGTTCTTTCTCGGCTCTTGCGAACTCTTGGATCGAAACAAGCTCGCCCTGCGCTTCCAGTTCTTTGTTGGTCTGGTTTCTGGCTCCGCCAAAGGGGGGGCATCCTGAGCCGGAACAAGTGCGCTGGTTTGCGACCTGCTTAACCCTTGAACCGGCGAAGGCGCGGCCGAGAGCGCTTCCGTTGTAACTTGTGAATTTGATCGGGAAGGCGGAAGACTGGAAGACAGAGTGCGGCCATGAGAGCTCAACAGGCGCGATGCCTGGGGTGTGAGGGCGGGAGAGGCATGGTTGCCAACTCTCGGTTTCGACAGCTTGTGAGGCGGTCTCTTGCTGTTGGTTTCGGCGTGATCCCGTTGAAATTGCGGCGACTCGGTCGAATGTGTGTTGCCCATTTTGCCAAGAGAGTCGGGGTTGATAGTGCCCTGGTGCCACGCCCGGGTTGTGGCGAGGGCTGCAGTCCGTACAATGCGATTCGGGCGGTTTGGAAGATGGATGCGGGTGGCGGGGCTAGAGGACGGCCAGCCGAGAAGAGAACTTTGTTACGAAGACGAGTTTGAAGTTGCCATGCCGCGCGAATCGCTCACAAATCGTCGTCGTTTCTGTGAGTCTTTAAGGGCGTGATTATATTAGTACGATGCTCGGAGGTTCTGCTGCGGTGAGGGTCGGTGAAATGGCCTGATGTGTATGTGTGTGTGTGGACCGTTTGTGACCTATGCCTCCCAAGAAAAATCCAGAAGCGGTGGCATAAAATGAAATAAAAAAGGCAGAACAGGGCCCGGCGCGATCAATGAAGAGATGAAGGGAAGGGGGGGCGTTCGAGGGGTCTAATAGATCACCAACGGAGACCAGCACGAACAGAGGAAGGTGGTGATAGGTGGAGGGATAGGCGTAATTAAAAGCTTAGGTGGTGGTGGTGGTGGTGGTGGCATAAGTCTGAGCATTTACGCACCGGACTATGTAGACCGAGCGAGCGTCTATCGAATCCGTCAACTCCACCAAAGGGAATGCCTGGTCTCTTAAAGAGTCAGTCGCCGGGATCAGTGGCGAGTTGTGCAAGTGTGTACAGAGGCGGCAGGCATTATATGCGGGAACAGGTGTCTGTCTGAGAATATTGGACGGGATGGGAAGTGCAGGAATGGGCCTCAGATGGCATATGGGAGATGGACAGGCAAAGGACACCGACAAGAAACCAGGAGGTGGAACTGACGGTGACGACGTACATGGTTTGAGACGCGCAAGGTGGGTTGGGGTATAGCGGAAAAGGGACAAAGTACCGCCTGCGGCAGCGAATGGGCAGGGCTATTCCAAGTTCCAAGACAGGCGTCGCTGTTGGCCCATGCAGGGCTGCAGAGGCATGCGTCTTGGCGGGTGGAACGTGGACGAGAGCCAGAGAGGCAGAGAAAGGCGTGCTGAGCTGGGTGGGTGGTAGGTTGATGTGGACGAGGGGGTGGACAAGGAGGGCCAAGTGGTGTCGGACGGCTATCCGTGAGGGTGTAGCGGCATCAAGTTGCATCGAGTCCCCAGTAAAGGCGGGCGAGACACAGAGACGGACGAGACGAGACGAGACGGCTGAGGTAAGGTGAAGCTCAAGCTCAAAGACGACGAGGGCAAAAGGGAAGACCGAAGTACAGTGTACTGGGCAGGACACCGACAATGCCGGCAACCGTTCTTGTTGTCTGTGGATGGAGCCCCGGCCAGGTTGGGTGATTATGATGATGATGATGATGGATGGACGTCGTCTGGACGGGATGCGGGTTGGATATGGTATTTCGTCTGATTGATGCCATTTTGCGGTCTGGGGCCTGGTCTGGCTATCGGAACCTTGGCAGAGACTAGACTAGACGGCCCTTGTCCAACCCACTGATTGTCCCTTGTCCTGTTGGAAGACCTCCGCCAGCCCCTTCCGCAGTAATGTATCCACAAGTCCTGATTTTTTCGTGCAACCCGCAGCTCTACTTTGTCGACGACGACGACCTGCACCAGAACCTGTTATCTGGATCTAGAGTCGTCCACGGCTGTCCGTCTAGTCCGGTCCAGCAAGCAGCTGGCTTTGTCCCCTGCCGAGAGGCTTCTACGTTTGCTAGCATGTGCAGGCGTGCTCCCGGTGGGATGCGTGCATATTCGCCCCTCTTCGCGCTCCTCCGGACAACTGCTGCTGGCTGGGTATGATCCGACACAGACAGCTTGACCGAGCTCGCTAGAGCTGAAGCTTGGGCTGTCGAGTGGAGTTTGATTGGGAGTGTCCGAGATGCAGCAGGGCAGATACGGGCGAACAGCAGGCTCTACAGAGAGCGCCGTGGGTACACATGTGAGGTGAGCGTGGTGCGGGGAGACGACAAGGCGTTATTCCATGTCTTTGATGCGCCATGGCGCGTTATCTCCGCCGGGAGGGAGGAGGTGGGAGGTGGGAAACCGATGGACAAGAGACAAGAGGACGAGAGTGTGTGGCTCGCACGCATATCGCCGACGCGTCGGAGGACTTGATTGGAGCAGAGCCCCTAGGCGCCAAACCAAAACAGAAGCCGAAGTGGTGGCAAGGGACGTCGAAAACCTGCCGCGAACACGCCCAGATGCCCGGGCATTATCGTCATCATCAATGATGGGGTGTATCTCCGACGAGAACGGCAGTAAGTAGGAATCCAATAAGAAGAAGACGGAACCGTGGCTTGCACCCGCCGTCTTCTGGCATGAGGCCATCCTGAAGCTCGGAACCCTCGAACCAGATCGACCCCGCTTCACTCTGGGTGCCATTACAGTTCCAGGTTTACTCTATTGCTGTGGACGTGTAGGTTCCCTTCTGGGCCGACAAGGACCTTATCCGCTTGGATGGGGGAATTTCGGGGCGTCAGAGTCGCTCCGAACGGCGCCTTGGGCTTGTTTTAGCCGAAGGCAATCGACCAAGCCATCTGTCAGGCAACTGGGATCTAATTATCGAGGTTGAATCCAATCGTCAGGTAGGTAACGCCAGCTTCACCGACAGGCACAAACAGGCGTCTGTGTGCCGGATGGGGCCTCGCGAGCTTCATGGAGCTGCCTCACCCTCCATGTACGTATCCAATATACCTATCTAATGTATCGGAACCCCCTCCTTCTGCTGTTCGGCTTCGTTTGACTCACGGTCCTGTTCTTCCCCTTCGCTTCCAGGTTCTTCAAAGACCTGGGAGCTGAGGCGGGAAAGCAGCAGAATCAAGTTGTATTCGGACAAAGCCCAGAAGCGAGGAGGCTACACCGGGGTCAAGCCACCACCACGTTGCAACCTGCCGGGCCTCGTGTTCCTGTTCCTTGTTGCTATCTCTCCTCCTTGCACCCCGCCGCGCCATTTCCACGTTGGCGAGGTGCCATTGAACCTGGAGCTTCACCTCCTGTTCCTTGCGAGCCATCAAACGCCCTACCTCAGCGGTTTCCCCCTACCTAGTCCCGTCCATCGCCATGTGCCTATTCGCCCGATGCCGACTCGCTCTTTCTCTGTCTCTCTGTCTGTCTCTTGCTTTCACTCCGTCTTTCATCTCTCTACTTCTTTTTTTCCGGCCCATCCCTCATCTCGTTCAATCTACCTCGATTCACCCACATCTCACATCGGTACCGGATCTCCCAGAGTGATGGTTTGGTCATTTGCCCTTCCTCCATGGCCTCGTTTTCGTATGGGGGTTTGCGCGCCAACCTCTCTGACAATGTCCAGGTGCCAGCCAGCAGGGATGGCTCCCTCTCGCCGAGTGCCTTTGACGTCCATTGCGTGTCCGTGGACAAGTCAAGCGTTCCTCCATCTCTGCTAGCCCGTCTCGGCCGCTGTTCGATGGACGTGTCTCTCGCACGGCATGCACTTGGAATCTCAGCCACCCGACCGACGTTGGCGGCGTCTTTACGCAGCGCCACGCAGAGTGGCAGCATTTCTCGCCTGCGGCTCTCTGGCTGTTCGCGCGAGGAAAAAAAGGTACTCGTTTCAGATTGTGCCACTTGACAATGATGGACCACTCGGAACTCGCTGAGACCAGCATATCCTCATCACCAATCCTGGCCGGAAGCCAACAGCTCAGGCAACATGCTTGATCAGGCCAGTAACCATCCTCTTCGACCCCCGATGCAGTTCGTGCATGCGAAGGGATGCCCGTCGTCGATCATCGGCCGCTAGCAGCCACTCCTTCAACGTCGGACAACGCAATCTGAGACCGCACACACTATTCACCACGCTTGCCTGTTGTCGCCTGTGTCTCCCAGGCTCTCATGGATTTGGGTGTCGGCATTCAGACGATGGCCAAGCGACGTATTCGCTTGCTGCATCGAAGCACCTTATTTGGTGCCCACTTTCGCCATCGTCGCCATCTGCCTATCTCCTATTCCATAGGGGCCACATGGCACGCAATTCGTTCGTCACCGCTGGCCGTCTTGAGGAGACCGAGACAATACTCATTTGATCACCACTCGCTGTTCCATGCACTGACTGCTCGCTCCCTGCCCCGAGATAACCTCACGCTGGTTCTGGTGCCACAATGGACAACCCCCCTTCCCCACCACAATTAGCTCAGCGCTCCCAGCGAACAAGGTTCAAGGGGGCATGAAATTGCCCTTCCGCCTTTTGCGGCTGCCTCCTCATTTATCCAGAGGAGTGTGAGTATGTACAAAGGGCGGAACAAACAAAAGAGCCCCAGGGAAATGAACGGGTCCTCCAGTCTTTCATCACTCCCAGCTCATAGTTTGACGATCCAATTTGCATCGCCGGTTTCCTGTGCCACAATCCCCCACATCAAACGGAAAGAATGAGGCTCTAGCCTATTCTGCGAACCACGTTTTGAGAACGTCATACATACAGTACTCTTTTGCAATTTAAGGCCTTGCTTTCGGCTCTGAGTGGGTTACAGACATACATGTTCGCTGGGGACACAGATAACGGCCCATCATCGAGATCGCCCCATTCTCGGACAGCACGCTTGCACAACTTGACAAAGCAGTTAAATTCTTT